ATTTCAATTAGCAAATTATTTAATGTGATAATTCTGGCTATGCTATTAGACCCTGTCTCCTCATATGCAAAATGTGGATAATAATGGTACCTAGCTCTTAGGTTTGTTTAAAATCTGGTGCATATGAGTGTGCATTTTATTTTACATGGCAAATCTAGTTAGGTAACCTTTCCAAGGGTACACTCAATAATAGAGCCAGTTTTCTAATTCTAGAGCCTTCCATCCTACCCTAGTATGGATGCCATCCATAGCTAAGAACTCCCAATGAGTATAGTAGTCAATCATAACATTAACTATTATCTTAAAAATACCAGTATCAACATAGTTGCCAGATGCTAATTTTCTTATAATGAGTAAACATCAGGATGCTTTAGTATATTAGTCCTTATATTCATATTTAGGGCTGAAAATGAAACTCAGGGAGGTAGAAATCTCACAATTTACCTAATAAATATATTTTAGAAATCATTTATTCAGATATACTACTTGAACTTTATATTCATAACCCTTTCAAAGTGGAGTCAAGAGAAATTAACAAATGCATAAAAATCAAAGGTTAAGTATTTAGATTTCTCCCCCACTTTTCAGTGCCTTCCTGGTGGGATCCAAATATCTCCACATGGTATTTGAGACTTTCCAGATTAGCCAAGATCAGTTTCCTTGGCCAAGATTAGCTCCTGTTAACTCTCAGTCTCCAACTCCACTTTAGATCCCTGGTCTGTCCTTGGCCTCATGAAATGCTTTCTGCTCTGATATCTTTTTATCTTAGATTCCCTACATCCTGAAAAGCAATTCCCAGTCCAAGCCATAGGAAATCTTTTTCTCCAGCTCAGACACTGGAGAAAAAGTTCTTTTGTGTTACAGGCTTTATCTCTTCACCTGACTAGCTTTTTATGTGATTTTGCTATGATGCCACTTAGCACAGCTTACATTGCCCTTGTCTCCTGACTAAAAGTTTCTGTGGTCAGGGGCTATTTTCTCTTATTTTTCCTCATACCTTACTAAGCACCCAAAATGGTGTCTTTCCTCAGGTAATTCCTTAATAAATTCTCCGCTGAACCAAATTTAGTCCAACAATGCATAGTGCTCTCAAACTGGCAGTATCATTAGTTGAAGTTTTGTGAGTCTTTCAAATATGACCACGTTGGGCAGGCTGCATTATGCGCCTGTAATCCCAGTTACTTGAGGGATGGAGGCAGGAGAATTGTGAGTTTGAGGCCAGTCTGGGCAAAGTTAGTGAGATCCCCATTTCAAAAGCAACATACAAATAAAAGGACTAGGGGCATAACTCAAGTAATAGAGCTCTGGGTTCAATCCCCACACTGAAATAATAATAATAATAATAATAATAATAATGTCAAGTTGCTTAAGGTGTGCTCACCAGGAAGAGCAATCTCGTTTTCAATGTTTAGAACAGCTTTTTCCCTACTGTTAGAAACTAATGCACATTCATTGTAGAAAGATTTTTAGGTGTAGATACACAAAGGGAAAAATGTCATCAGTAAAACTCCTTTCATGGGCAGCCACAGCTATTTCTTCTTATTATTCCCTTTAAATAAATAAATAAACATATATGTATATGTATATATTATATGTATATGTATATGTATATATATATATATATATATATAGAGAGAGAGAGAGAGAGAGAGAGAGAGAGAGAGAGAGAGAGAGAGAAATACTGTTTTCTTTTCCTAGATCTTCAAAAGCAGAGCTGATGTAAAAACAGACATATGCCTAACAGGCACACAAAACTGGGTTGGAACCCCCAAGCTCAGCATTTCACAATTATATGACCCCAGATTAGTCACTTCATTTCTGAGGCCCAGTTTCTCATCATAAACTTAGAACTATTAATGCTAGTTTTTATTCCTATAGAGATTTGGGGAATATGCTTTTATGAAACATTTGGCTATACTTTATAAATTAGAAAATGCTATCTGCCTCTTTTTATTAGTGCATTAGAGTACACAGAAGATGAATCTGTGGATAATGTAACATCAGTTGAATCATAACAATTCATATTGGTTTGTGCTGAGTTCTCTTATTTGAGTTACAAACAATCTTCATTTCACTAATGGGGAAGGAACTAACTTTTACTGAGCACCCACACACACACACACACACACATGGTCTATAATACTTGCCTTACACTTGTTTCCTTAAAGAACCACATATCACCTTTTCATATTATATCTGAGGAAAATAGAAACTCAGTAAGCAAAGCCACTGGAGTTGCAAGATTATACCAAGGTGGGTTTGATCTCAAATTTCATTTTTTTTGTTTTTAGTACATAAAGAGACACCTTTTGAATTTGTGGAATTCTCTTATTGTTATGGAAATTTCTAGAGTGAGTGAAGGGGGAGTATTTGATTGGACACATGGGTTATTTTGGATACATGGATATTTAAACTTGGGAAAGTTTAAATAGATTGTGATTTCTTCTTAAAGGAAAGAGTGACTGATTTAAAAGCCCTTTGCCTTGCTTGTCATTTACCTAAACATATTTTAATATAACTTGCAAGTTCTCATAGCCTGGCTTCTTTAGACCTATAAAGAACAGCTGGGGGGGAGGGTGTGGCATTTCCTTCTTGAAGAAATGTTTTCAAACCAGGTAGACTGATGTTTTTAGTTCTATTTGAAAGTAGAAAACTAGACTCCATCAAAGATAAGACACAAGAGAATATGAAAGAAAAACTATTGTTATAAAGTCTGTTGAAATGTGATAAAAACAAATGATAGTATGGCACAAAGGATTTAAATGATATTACAAAACAGAGTCATATGACAATGCTCTAAATAGCTGCTATAATAAATGAAGTAAACTGTTCAAATATTGGGGGGAATTAAGGCCTCACGTGAATGGCAGTGTTGAATTCTCACTTTTTAGCACTGGCTAAACAGAACAATCTTGTAGTAGGTTAGACTTCCCTCACCATCATTAACTCCAAGTTTTAAAAGTAGAAGATGTTTATATCAGGCAATTTATAAAATACTAAAAAGTACAAAAAAGAAAAAAAATACATTGAGGTTGCCATCAGTACTAGAAAACTGGGGCTTTCTAGAGCCAGGCCAGTTAGAGGCTTAGCTCAGGAGGCCTTCCTTCAAACATGAGCCCAGCCTGTTCTCATTCTGATTTCACAGACCTTCTGCTGGTAGAAAGGGGGAGTAAGGACTGGGGGTCTAATGACCGCAAGAAGAGAATTAGAGACGCATGTTTATCTCAATACATTTACTCTCATTAAAGTTCATATTCACTGACATCATGCATCTCCTTGAAAAAGTCTGCCCACCCACCATTAATTAAAGCCACATTTTAAAAAGTCAGTGTGTGCACTTTTATTCCAATCAAAAGTAGCCTCCTAAGTTTTGCAGAGCAGGCAGGAGAATATCTGAAGCCTGACAGCTGTTCACCTCTACACAGTGAGCAATCATGTGATTTACATTAAAATTTGTGTTTATACAGGACCTAGAATATAATAGCTAAGATCTATTGTTTTGAAGAGCTGAAATATTCAAAATCTAATATCCTATTGCACAAAATTAACATTTATTGTGACAAGTTAACATTCTTTTGGATACAGTGTAAGAACATATGCCTTTATCTTTCCAAATAAGAAATCTAACTACATATCCTGTTTGAATAATTAAGCAGCACACTCCTATCAAAGACACCACATTTTATAACTTCTATGTGTACTATCAATGTCAAAACAAAGGTCAATGTAAATTCTTTTCATCTAAATCACTGCACAAACAGCAATTACCAATAGTTGTAGGATTGCACAACCACAGTCTATATTCTTGGCAGTAGTCACTATAAGTTCATAAATTTAATGAAAATAAAGAATGTTGATTTTTAAAGTTCAAGAAAGGTACTATTTGTAAACAGTTCAGGTCACACTCATCTTATTCCATGTGCTAAGCAAGAGTTCTTTCCTTCTAACTTCCTTTAAGTGAGATTTATTCTCTCCAGGAGCCTAGTAAAAGGATTTCATCTAAACAGTTTGGTGTTCTTTCTATTCCTTCTCCTATTTAAGTTGCCCTCTTATATTGTGTTGATAAAAAACAAATCATGGTTATCTGTTTCCACTGGCAATGAGATTATCCTATAATGGTTCTGACCAAATATTTGTTTAGGTCAGCCGGTTTATGCTTTCCACACAAAGACATAAATAGCAGCATTCAGATTCTCTTGTCATTCTTGTCAAGTCGCCAGCTAGAAAGGCCTAGGTCACCAGTGAACCTGAACATTAGTATTGAAATGGTTTATTCCTAGGGTGAAGCACATCTGGACTAGGAGTTGAAACCCGAGTTGCAGTCCTGATTTTTCTACTGACTTACTTTGCGCACCTTGGGGTCTCAGTTTCCTCATCTAACAAAAGGGTGTTTGAGAGTGACTACTGACCAGATACCTATAGCACAGGAGGTTCATCCGGGCAAAGGGGTGAGGGGCCATGTCTTGCCCTGATCCTCTTACTTATCCAACACCAGAAACCACAGATAGGGGTTTTATGGTTGGAACTGGGTCTGGCTCCAAAAGACAACATTCCTGAATCCAGAAGGAAAAAACTATGCCTGATGAGCTGCTTTCATGAAAAGTTTGGGAGAAGATGTTCTGAGTCTTGATATTCCTTAGATACAAGCATTTAAAGTACCATTGCTGTGTGGGATGAAGAACTATCCTAACTCACAGATTATATCTCCTGCCCAGACAATACAGTATCCAGAGGGACCATAAAACACTTGACTGACTACAATGCCAAAAGCAATGGGTGGACTCCTTGAGCTCAGCTGTGGGAAGGAAGGTGGAGCATGGGTGGGGATCTTTCAACCCAGTCGGTGGTATTCTTTAGAACAAACAGCTCTGAGCTGGGGGGCAGTGGGAAGTTGTGACTACACAGCATTTATCGACTCTAGGAAAGATTAAGATAAGCTCTGCCTGAGTGAGTCATAAGGCCACACAGTCTTCAAAATGAGCACGGTTGCATTTCCATACCTTCCTGCCGGCTCTGTTGTTGTGAAGATTCATCAGGGCTCTGGCATCTTTCCCTTTCCGTTCTTTGGCATCTACGAACGCGCGGGCGAATTTGATCCCATAGTCAATGTTATCACTGCAGCCACCCCAGTCGAAGGTGCCCTTGCTGTCTTTGGCGGTTCCCTTCTTCTTTGGATCACAGGAACAGGATTTTAATTCTCCTTGGCTACAGGCCCTGGTGATGGCAAATACAACTCCAGCTGAGGAGATGGCGTAAACAAAGGCAGATTCCCGACTACCTGAAACAAAAATGCTTTTCTTAAAAGTGGTCTTGGAGTGTTGTTCTGAGTAAGTTTCACATAGTGGCTGTTTAATAACTTGATCTGCCTCTAAATATCCTTTGCCACTGACAAAAATGGTACTAGCATTCTGGAAAGATTCTTTTTAAAGCCAAGGTTCTTTCTTTAATATGAATTGTCAACCCCTAATGTAGATTTCTGTCAGTTTAATATCTGTTGAGCAACTCTTGTCAAATACAGACTATAAAACATAAAGATGATTCCTGGTTCCAATGAGTCTCATATGAGTGCATGCTCTGTATTAAACACAGAACTCTAGATTATCCTAGAAGAGCAGAGTGTGGCATCTCTCATCTTAGTCTCTTCACCCATAAAATACAGTCTAAATTCTTCAATTCTAACATTCATTACATAATTTTTTTTAATGTTCATGATATCACAGCTTGTCTTGGAAAAAACCTTCCATGATGGGTGCAGAAGTGGCACTTGCAGTCCCAGAAACTCACGAGGCTGGGGTGAGAGGATTGCTGGAGCCCAGGAGATGGATGCAAACAGGAAAAAACAAAACAAAACAATGTTTTCCAAATCTTCAGGCATTACTAAAGACACTCATAAGCATTTAGTTTATTGACGCTAAAATACTGAATTCAAAGGAATCTAGGTGGACAGAAGTAGAAAGAGAATTCGGGCAGTAACCAGTTGCTGGCGTTAACACAGGAGAGCTTTGGCTTGACATCAACTTTCACAAATAATTGAGAGATTGTTGAAGGCAATATGCAATATCTTTGAGTTATATACTATGTCTAACTATTAAGGTGAATTTACTTTCTTCTGGAACACCTGCACTAATCACTAGTATTGGGTAAAAGACAGTGAAAAGCTTTTCTGGAAGGAAACAAATTTACCGCCTATAATTAGACTTGGGCAAGAACCCTTTAGGGTGCTTTCTTAAAATTGTTCTTTATTAGAGAGCAGGCTACTTTCACTTACAGGCTGAAAGGTACATATTTCAGTGCAATAACTACATTAAATTATTTTAATAATCTGTAGTAACTCATAACACGGTGTTGTGGTATAGTGACAGATATAAGGCTCTTTAGGGTCTGTGTGCACCTCGTTTTTCAAGTGGGGCTGTATTTCATTGTTATTAGCATACATTTTTATTAATGGTTGCTGCAGCAAATATATTAACAATCAAAATAGAAGCTGGACAACCTAATGCCAATGCAAGGCAGAGAACCATTTGGCAACTCAATATGTCAAGACGAGTGTGACTTTTTGAACCACACAGCTGGGAGAACAAACCACCTTTTTGCATTGAAGCCCTGCTTGTTTCCGTTTGTCATTCAGTGCTAAAATTTATTATACGTCCCTTGCAATATTTGCTCTGCTAGTCTCATTATTAAAAATCAGGAAAACATATCTACACCATATTAAATGACACTTACCTCAGCCTTCAGAAAATATCTCCCTCAAAGCCTCTAACCATCAAAAAAGGACCTTGTCATGCTCTGTAGCCAGGTAAAATCTATTAGATGAGTATTTGCCATAAGTAGCAGGTAAGTGTCTCCAGAGAAGAATGTGTGGTCATGGGAGCTGTTTAAAGAGTCTCAGATCATGGTATAGGCATCATGTATATTTTAAGTGGAATTGAGATGCTGTGTAAAAACAGGTGACTAACAGATGCAAATGTGGCTTAATCTCAGGCAGTGGGTTTCAGATAAATAAAATCTTTTGTTAGTCTCATTTTATAGTTTAGAAAAATACCTTGTTCCTAGACACCCCACTTATCTTCTACAGTTTGGTTTTGGATTTGGGGTCCAGTGACCATTCTTAGAGATATCATATAAGGGAAAGTTCCTAAGTGTTTAATGTATTTATCACTGCTCTTTTTTTTTAAATTAATGATGAAGAAGAGACATCCTACACAAAGAGAAAAAAATTTTAAAAAAAGAAGAGAAATCTTATTGAGGTGCTCCTTTAGGAAAAAGATATGGCAAATGTGGATGAAAGTATGCCAGTGACTAGACAGTTTGTTGAAAGCAATAAAGATAAATTTTGTAGGTGTAGAATTAATCCTTATGTAACTTGCAAACAATTACATTAACTTGTTGCCTCAAAGGAAAAAAATCACAATTTCCTACATTTCAGAAATAATTTCCAAAGAAAAATATTATCTTTCTAAATATTTGCCATTTGTTATTCAAGCACATTATTAAATAGCTGGATATTTGTTTATTAAATAAAAATTTAGCACATTTACTGACTTTTCACTTACCTCCAGATATTTTGTTATTGTGTAGATATAACCTTAAGATGTTTTCAGTTAAGTGTTTTAGATGGATCACTAAAATGCTATGTGTGAAATAGTAGCACATATCCAGAGTTGGCTTTATAATAAAACAAATTTTGATCTTTTTAGAAAAACTGATTCTTCACAAAATGAAACAAAATCCAAATCTAAACGATGATATGTATACTTCTTGATGTGTGACTATTGAAGTTTCTCACATTTTTGGATTGTTATCTATTGGATATTACATTTTATTATATTACATTAATTATTATATTATATTATATCTTGGATTGATATCTATCAAGCAACATCTGTTAAGTACAGAAGCATGTTTTTTGTTTGGGTGAGGGGATTGTTACCTGGAAAGTCAAAACACTAGAAGTCAGAGTTTCTGGATGGTCATGAGTTGTTCAACTCTCTTTAAAAATATTTTCTCTTCTCTTTTTGGTGGACATTTAGAAGGATGATACCTTATTACCTTTTGTTTCTACATTCTTATTCAAGAATTCTGGAGATGTATACTTAAAAGGATGTTTTTAGGTTTTCTTGGTTTGTAACTAGTGACTGTCTATTGAAAAAGCAGATTACAAATGTTCCTAAAAATTGTTCTGTCTCTCTGGTTCTCTAAAGCAAAAGGCAACTGTTCTCCATTTCTCTATGACCATGGATATTTAAGTAACTGGTGTTTTTCATGCAATGATGCCGCCCTTTGCCTCTCCTATCCATCTATAAGCACACTTAGGTTTCCAAAGGAGAGTTCTTCAGAACTCTAAGATGTAAATTTTCCTCCAAGCAATTAATTGTAAAAAACAAAATCTGTGGATAACTTCACTGGAATTTCATGATTATTTCCAGGATAAGCTGCTGTAAGCAAGCCTCTAATAACCATCATAAAATTATCACTGCCAGTCATAAGAGTATACATAAATGTCTGGGAAGGACTGGCCTTCTATGAAGAATAGAAAGAAATTGTGTGGAGTGAGTGTTCTAAGTTCTGGGTATTTTGGCAAAGCACTGAACTTCATTTGAAAGAAATGTGAAGGAAGTGCAAGTTGGGATCTCTTGTTTAACCTGGGGCCTCAAACTAAGTCAAATTTGTTTGGTTTCCTCTAGTTCTGAACTCTCAGCAACTCTACAGAGTATTTTATGAACAAATCCCTAGCTTTGGCAGACATACCATCTTTGGGATCACTAGTTAAAATTGCTTCCTTTGATTTGTGATCTGAAGGGTTCTTTTTCTCAATATGGAGACAACTTAATGGATCTTAGGGGATCATTTCATGGAAGAGAAGTGCATCTAACTTGAAATCACTGCAAAATGGTTGTGAACACTTTGAAAAAGAAAAATGCTGATACATCTTAACTACTATGAGCAAATAATATGACTAAAGATTACTTGTGACAGAGATTTGCAAATTCTCTTCGACAAGGTCCAGCACTTTGATTCATTGGTGAGCTAATCTAGGTGAAGTCTTAAAATTCCATCAAGCTGAAATTTACTATTATCCTTTCAAAAATTTGCGATGTCATATCGAAACTCCAAAAGGAATGCAGAAGAGTATAGTTCTTAAACTAGAGAATAAAATTGCAGAATATCGCAGTAAATTAACTTTAGGGATACTCTAAGAGTGAGAGTACTACGCCCTTGGGGGATTTTAGAGACATTCAGTTATGCATTTGGCCTCATAAAACCCTAGGGTTGTGATGATTACATGATAGAAACACCCTCTGTTAAGCATTACCAAGTGCATAGCCTGGATGATTTTCTTGGGAATGGGGGGGGGGGGCAAAAACAAGTGTAAAATTTCTTGTTTCTGAGGTTTGCACATAAACTGTTGTGTTTTCAGTCAGACTTCCCAGTAGCAAATGGGCAGTTTTATTTCTTGAAGAATGGTAATAATGCCCAGTGAGTCGGAATTATTCAAAAATAAAATCTGACTTTCAATTAATTTTCTCTGACTGCATGCTAGCTAATGAGTGACTTTCAATATTCAGAACTTTAAAGAAGTTTACTATGTAATTAGATAATGATTAAATCTCTTTCTAATGAAATGTAAATCTATGTTTTCAAGGTTTCTAGTCATCTCTTCTATAGAATAATCTTACCGACTAAAATGTATACCTGGGAAAATAATAAGTGCTTACTACAACTTCATTCAGTCATTATAATGAGTGAATGGGGTACAAGCAAGGCACAGGTAACACAGGCTAGCTCTGCCCTTATGAAATTTGAAATCTATTGAAAATAATGTTTAATTTAGATACAGGGTCATCTAAGGCTAAGGAGCCAAATGAGAGGTCAAAGGTGAATAGAGATTTGTCTCTGCTGCTTAATAATATTTTCATGATGTTTTTCTGTAATAATGATAATCTTTGATGAAAGATTTGAGCATTCTATCTGGGTCTTCTGAAGACTATTACTTTCAGGGATCATTTCTATAGTTCGCTATCTGGATCTTCTGGAAGGTTCGTGTTTCAGAAAAGGAAAAAAGGCTAAAAGAGCCCCTGGCTACTTCCTCCCTTCTAGGGACAAAATCTGAACATAAAGGGACATGCAAGGTTGAAATGCCCCTTCCCTGACTCTACCACTGGCCTCCTATACAAGACTTTAGATAAGTCTCCAGTCCTCGTCTCTAAAATGAGACAATGTCACCCTACAGCACAAACCCACTGACCAGAATGCAGTAAAAGACAAGGAGCATGTAAGAAGACTGTGTAAGGAGAGGGGCACAGGGTTGGTTGAAGGCAGGAGACTCACTTCGAAGCAGGACCCTGCCAAAGAGGCTGTGATCCCTGTCCAGGGTGTTGCAGTTCCAGCGGTGCTGGCGGAACTGGTGCTGGCACTCTGCTGTCCACTCCGTCACACCCAGGCCAATGGCACGCATCACATCTGGATGTCGGTGGCACAGCTGCCGCTGGCGGCTCACTAGGCCTGGCACATTGTCACACATTACCCTGGAGGAGCCACCTGTAGCTCTCATGTACCTGTGAGAGAGCCACAAAGAGGTGAGAACAACATGAACAGCCAGGCAGGGCTCAGCTCAAAGCACTTTGTAAATATGAATTCCTTGTCATTTTGGTAGTATTAGAAGGCAAGGGTTATTTAGTTTTAGTTCAGTGGAGAAGCAGGCAAGGGAGGTATGGTGAGTGATCTGGTAGAAGCCCCCCAAGTGGAGTGATGACTCTCTCTTAGACAGGAAGTAGGGGCCACCAGATGATGCTCTGGATAGGATGGTAAAGGCAAGGTCTACATAAAGGGGACTGAATGGGGGCGGGGGTGCTACAGTGTGTCTTGGGAGAACGCATACAGGCTGTGCTCTCAGTGACACCATGTGTCTGAACTTGGCTTTAGAGGAAGCTGCCTTTTTAGAGGCTCCTTACTCCCTTTTATTTGACCTAAGTCTTAAAAACTGTCTGCCTCTATCTAATCAACACCTGCTGGTATCTGATGTTACATTCTTCTCACAGACATGCCGTTCTTCACATTCTAAAGAATCCTTCAAATGCTTCCATTTTCTGGCTCTCTCTCTCTCTTTTTTTTTTTTTTGCTTTTATAGAAAACCTTTGGAAAAAATTCTTTCTATTGTTATTAAGGACACTAAATGTTTGGAAGCATCAGTGTTATAGCTCCATAAAATACTTTTTGAAAAGAAACTTTAACAAAAATTACATCATCATTCTTACCCAGATGTTCTCTATTAGTTGTGAAATGTTTAGAAAGGCACCTTTCATATAACCCCAGCTGCCATAGGTGTCTTTTGAAGCGATCAAACAAGGAGAATGTCTTTTTCTTGTATTTTCATTATTTTATATGATCATAAAATCATTACAGCTGTGACTTCCAAAAAATATATTTAAGTGACAGCTGAGAGACAATGTGACAAAATGCCTAAGCAATAAATAATGTTTATACACCCATGGAAACAGAAATAGTCATTTTATTGAAAAATGGTCATTCTGATAAATCAATCTTTGATCCTGTGTCAGCAATGTCAAGGCTAAACGCCTTCCTGTTCAAAGCAGGCTTAAGAGGGAATTGAACCCCTCTTCCCATCAGCACTTTGCCTTGCTCCTTTGAACAGCTCCAGTGTCTTCCTAAAAAAGTCCCCTGTTCTAGTCTTTCATTTGAGTGAGCTTCCTTACGGTTGCCAGATTCTTTTATACATATATATATATATATATATATACACACATATATACATTTATATATATATACACATATACATATGTATACATATATGTATGTATATATGTATGTGTGTGTCCCATGAGAACCGATCTTTCTGAATAAGTATTTTAATATCTGTTCTGAAACTTTCAGATACAAGGAAGTTACAGAAAGCTCAACTTCATTTCTTTCCAAGGTCAGAAAGTTGAGAGATGGAGAATTTCTGGATGGGTAGAGACTATGTCTTTGGAACTTTAAAGGATGCTAAAATCGCTTACCGGTCAAGATTTCATCACTATGCAAAATAAATAAATCCCAGATCAAAGTACAAAGGACAGCAAACAAGTTACTTTTGGAGGTGCTGGTTCTGAACTGGGTAATATTTTGGGCACTTCAGTGTCAGTGGCTATACATCAAGGCGATAGTCCCTACCTGGAGGCAGCAAATTGTTCTTCTGCCTCACTTGGGTGAAGCATTAGGAATGTGGAAAGACGGGAAATAATACAAAATCACAGGCTTTGGGCTCTACAATTCTTGACTGCCTGAATTGGTTTATCTTGAGGCAGTGTTTTCAGGGCGCGGGGGCGGGGGAGGAGGTTGTAGTTTTCAAGGTGAATTTAACACACGTACATATGTGCTACAGCTAGAGATTAGGCATGCGAGTTTCTCAATCGGATAAAAAAAATGCTGATTTGCTGTCTCAGCTAGATCCAATTAACCAAAAATCTCATGTAAAGGGCATGTGATTTTTTGGGGGGGAGTTGTCAAAGCTGAAATGGGTTCTGAGAAAAGCCAAGGGGCGCAGCTCAGGATGTAGCGATAAGAGAGCAGCAGTAGGGGTTCGGACCAGGAATCCACAACTGCCACGGCTGCTGCAGTGAACCCCTGCCGGGAAAGGTCTATGTGACCAGTAGGGTCCCCCACTCTCATCTCCAAAAATCCACCCTCGCCCTGCACCGGTTTGCATGGACTTACCACCATGAAGAGCTGACCTCAGGGGTGAGCCAGGTCAAGAGCAGAGGGAGCCAAAGCCAGATTCCACCGAGAGGGACGTTCATATTAACCCCCTTGCGTCCTCATCAGGTCAGACTCCGTGTGCGGGCGCCATGCGTGCCCCGAGCAGAAGCGCTCAGCGCCGGGAGCGCCTCGTCACGGCTGCCGGCGCCTCGCCGCGCCCCCGCCCCCCGCTCGCGTCTGCGGCGAGAGGCGAGACTCGCTGATAAAGTTTCTGAAGACGAGCCCCGCGAGCGATAAAGGCCAGCCCGGGCCGCCTCGCCCACAGCCCAATTCCCCCGGCGCTGCGAGCGCAGGCAGCCCGAGAGCTCTGAGTGCCTCCCGCACGCCTCTCTGTCCTTTTGCTCCCCGCTGGGCGCAGCCAAGGAAGGGGGCGCTGCGCGGAGCGGGGCGGGGGGCACCAGGTTTTTATAGAGGAGTGGATGAAATGATGGCAAGAGATGTCTCGGGGTGAGGTAAGGCAGTGGAGGAGGCACACCTCTGCGTGGCCACGAGCATGGTGGAGGCAGGCACCTTTAGTGAAGCTCCTGGCCAAAAAACATCAGGGGGCTGAAGCCACAGGAACGCGCGAAGTCCCCATGCCACGTGGGGAAAGGGGGAAGGATAAGGAGATAACTATGCACAAGATACAAGAACCAGAAATGATTTTCGACACATCGCTTTGCTCTTCTCCCTTACACTGAGAGATGGAGCACTTGTAAATTTGGAGCTTCTGTGTCTTTGCGGGGCAAGGTTGGGAAGGGAGGGGCGAGGCCTTGGGGGAAATGGCCTTGATTCTGACTCCCTGTATATGAAGAGCTGAAAGCGAGCGGCATCCGAAGGGTCCATGACCCTTGAGACCTCACCCAGTAGTCTCGGCCAAAGCGCCCTGCGAAGGCGCGGTTTTTACACACCCAGCTCCTCTCCAGCCCTGGCGGAGCGCTCACGATCTCGTAGGGAGGACCCAAGGTAGCCAGGCGTCCTCCAGGGAGTCCGCCCAGCCTGGGTAGCACCTCCCGCTGCCCGGGTGCTCAGCCTGTGTGCCTTGCGGAGGTAAAGGGACCCTGATCCTAGACCTGGGGCCCCGCAGAGCCGAGATAGGAGCTCTGGCCTGCGGGTGGAGCATCTTGAGCAGCCACTGGCTTGTAGCCCCGCCGTTTATCACCGGAAAGGAAGACCAGGAACTTGAGGCGACCGTGAACTGTTCCATTGCTCTTTTCCTGGGGCGGGGGACACCACCCGCCCAGAGGCGTGCCCCGGGGAATAAGGAGCGTGGGGTGGGGTGGGGGTGGGGAGAGGAGGTACAGAGGCAGGGAGGCACTTGCCTAGGAAGGACAGTTCCTCTCACCCCCACTCCGCCCACCTCTTGAGCTGGGACCCGCCAGAACGTCAGCTCTTGCCCAGCGCGATCTCGGTGAGAGGCTGGACTAATCGAAGCCCAGAGATGCCAAAAACCTGAAAGATGCTGTCATCGCCACCCCCTTCCCCCACTCCGGTCCATGGCAGGTCCGGGCCCCTCCCAGGCTGACCCAGATACATCCCCATTTGGGTCCGGAAAGGGAGGGGAGGGAAACAACCACCGCGCCACCCACGACTCGGGAAGAGCAGGGCTCTGCGCCAGGGCCGCTCCGTATCTCTGGGCTGCGACCCAGGGGAAGTTCTGCTCGGTCTGTGCTGGTCGTGAGGGAGGGAAGGGGGTGCATTTCTGCAACGCGTACGTGTGCACGCTGGGGGGGAGGGGCGTGGTAGCACAGAACAGCAATACCTCAAGCACCTCTATGCTCACACTCATGAGCTTCTTCCAGGATAAAGGAGAACAAGCTAAAACCTATCTCCACTCGCCTCTGTCTCACAGTTTCTTGAAGTAAATCTTGGAACCTATATGAGATGGTTGACCACTGAGGAATCTTAAATTGCCAAAGTTTCACATCTAGGGGTGAATGAAACAGGGGCTGTGGACGTGTATGTAGGGAAAGGTAGGCATTTGTATGCTTCTCTCATGAAGAATGAAATTTTAAAGTACCTTAAAAATTCCAACTCAAAGTTCCACCCATCTCAGCACATTGTGTCCTTATAGCTCAAGGGTGTTGGAAATACATAGAGTTTGACCATCAGCTTAGAAGCCTTTCTTCTCCACCCAGGGAATTACTGAGTGGCCGGGAGACCTACCCTTAGTTGATAGTGAGGCCAATGGAATGACCTAAACCTGAAACAGTCCTCCTAGAAAAGGAATGAACTGTCCTCAAAGCCAATTCTCCCCAAAGAACATCCTGATGAACACGAGGAAGTGCCACATCTGTGGAGAGGTCAGTTTTGCTGAAAGGCTGAAGTTGGAAAGGGTAAATGCAGATGTGAGAAAGGTCGTCCGCCCCTCTGACCTGTCTAGAGACAGCCCAGACCAGATGACTGGTCTCTTCCAGACCTGAGATTCCACTTCCCTCCGCACTCCACCCCTGTTCACTTACGGCCTATTACTGAGCTCCATCCACCTCCAGAAGGTCTTCACTCCCTTTTCATCCGTACCTCTCCTGTTATGTACCTTTACTTTGAAGATGGGGCACTGGCTAGGAGAGGCTGTGGACAGAGGCTCAAGAAAAGTAGGAGGGGAGCAGGTTACAGCAAACTTTATTCTTTGCCATAAACCTATCATCCTAAAGAGTTTATGAACAATGGAGTAAACTGCTCATAACTTCAGCCAGCTATAGCACATGATGAAGAAGGAAAACGGGGCTCAGCATGCCTTTAGATCTGTGAACTTAATATCTGATGATTTTAATTCTTCAATGAGCCATCTCAACATTGACAATAAAATTCCTTTATAGTATACAGAACTCAATTCTCCTTTTGGAGCTTAATATTAGTTTGCCTGTAATTTCAGTATAGCATTGTAGCCAAATGAGTCAGTCTATTTTCTTAGTTAGATCCATTGTTTGTCTAATCTCCCAGGGCAGAGAAAGAGAACCAATGTACTACCAAACCATCTCCACCCTTCAAAAATGGAGTTACTTCTTCAACCACAGTCATTTGTCTTTCTGTCTGAACTAGCTCCTTCTTAAGGCCCTGACCTCCAGTATAGCCTCTCATTAACCAAAAAAAAAAGTTAGTATCATTTAAACATCAGTGTACATTTAAATTAATGTACACCAAAGACTTTTGTTTCCAGACCTGAGAGAACAGGTACCTGAGATGTTCTATAGAAAAGAACTATAAAACTGGGCAAAACCACAAGGCATATCTTTTCAGGCATTGGACAGTAGGCAGCACACACTTGTGATCCTCATGAGAAGGGAAGCACATGAGAGGTTAGCTCCACAACTACCCCACAAATGTCCTGGTTTTTCTGAACAGCACTATGTCTGTGATACAGTAAGGTAGAACCAAAGCAGAGCAGTAGTCTCAGTAGTTACAGGTAAGGAGGGAGACAAGAGTCTGAAGTTGTGAAGCAGCTGAAATTGGCAGGGGAGTATTTCTGAAAATAGGCTATAAAAAGGGGTCCTCAGAAGCCTACATGGAGATGAGCTGACTATTATGTCAAGACACTGCAAGGCCTAACAGAAATTGACTGTTGCTTGTCATGCTGTGTTAAGAAATACTGATGGTCTGGCTCATCAGAATAAAGAGACCCCACCGAGCATTTTGGATATTTAGGTGAGGTGGTAGAAAGGCAATGCCTTAAGAGGAATGTTCATGCCTCAGTGTAAAAAGTGTGCCTTAGGACAAAATTAAAAATTCTGTTTCCTCATATTACATGCTCCAACAAAGAATAAAAGCAAACCAGACAGGACCAGGGGGATTTAGAAGAACAAAACAGATGTCCATTAAAAGAAGACAGTGTAGTAGGCTGGAGTACAGCTCAGTGTTAACAGCACTTGTCTAGCATGTGACCCCCAGAGTTCAATCCCAAGCATTACAAAAAAAAAAACAAAAACAAAACCAGAACAAAACACTCTCTAAAGCCTAACAAACTGCCATGTATCATCAAAAATAAAAAATTAATAGGCAGGTGAAAAATCCATACTCAAGAGAAAGCAGTGGATCAGTGCGTGGTTCCAATTGGTGGTGCTATTTTGGGAGGCTCTGGAAACTAGGAGGAATGGTCTAGTTGGAGGAAGTAGGGCACTAGGGGCACACTTTTGAAGTTTATACTTCATCCCCCCATTCATCCTTTCACTGTTTCCTGTCCATCATGAGGTGAAGAATCTCCTCCACCACATTTCTGCTACCATTCCTGCTGCCATGATGTCTGCCCAAGCACACTGTGCCAAGCAACTATGAACTGAACCCTCTGAAACCATAAGCCAAATAAACCTTTCCTCCTTTAAGTTGTTTATGTCAGGTATTTTGTCACAGTGATGATAAAACTAATACAGTCCAGATGTAGGAATTGGCAGGAAATAAAATTTAAAGTAGCTATTATAAATATGTTCAATTGTGTTGGAGGAAAATATGGTCACAGTGAACATAGAGGAAAATTTCAGTAGAGAATGAAAGCCATAAGAAACAAAGTTCTAAAATCAAAATATAATTATTTAATTTGTAAAATTTATACCTGTAGTCATACAAGTTATCTACTTTGAAGAACAGAGAGAAAAGACGTAAACAATCAAATAAACAGAACCTCAGAGATATGTGGTAAAATATCAACCAGTTTAATATATGTGCAAGTGGAGTTCCAGAAAAAAAGTAGAGAGAAAATGGGGTAAAATACTTCTAGAAATAATGCTCCAAATTTGTTCAGTATGATATAAAATGTAGATTTATAGATTGAAGAAAGTCAGAAAGTTATAGGGAGAATAAATATGAAACATACCACACCTACACACTTCCATAGATAAGGAGAAAAATCTCTAATGCAACTAGAGGAAAAGATTAAGTGCAAGGGAACAGTGTATGAATTATATTTGTCTTTTCATCAGCAACAATGGAAGTCAGGCTGGTGGAGTGGTTCAAGCCATAAGAGTGCCTGCCTAGCAAGCGTGAAGCCCTGAGTTCAAACCCCAGTGCTGCCAAATTAAATCAATCAATCAATAAATAAAGTGGAAGTCAGAACTCATGAAATGACATTTTTCAAATGTTGAAAGAAAAAAAATGGTCCTCATAGAAAGTGGAAGTCAGAACTCATGAAATGACATTTTTCAAATGTTGAAAGAAAAAAATGGTCCTCACAGAAATCTGTAATTAGTGAAAATATCCTTTGAAAATGAAGCAAAGCTCTTGTTTCTTCTTTTTCCCTTGACCTTGGGAATGAACATTGCGGGTCATGGTCATGACAAAAATAAAACAGAGCAGCCAACCCAGATAGGGTCAAGATAAACCCTGGGTATTCTACTTGCAATTCAAAGCTCTTCTTGGGCTCTACATACTTTCC